TACATATTCCAACAATTCAGATGGACCAAACCTCATCATAACTCTAACCATATTATCACTTTAAAACTACAATAACAATACAATCTGGAAAACTGTTTTTTTGCCCTCCAGAAAAATGGTCTTTAGTTTCCAGTGTTTTAAATATTTGCTTAATGTCCAACCTTTTGATGCATTTCTCATCTTTGGAAGATGTACGTAAATGAGCATTTTGTTTTGAATCCCAAAAGCAAAAATCATAAACAAAGAAATCTCGGCAATTTTTTTTTTTAAAAAAAACTTGTGATTCCAGTAATAATCAAAAGTTAGCTTTATTTCCTTTGCAATTATTAATTTATCTGAGTGGAGCACTCTTGTTATTCTAACGAGCGTATTGGTTCACCTTTTATTGTCTATAAAGTTTTTGAAGTCTGCTATTATTATTCAGGTTTTTGTTAGGGAAAGTATCCTAAACTATTATTCTTCGTATGCATGCTGTGTGTATAAATACAAGGCACCCCCTCCTTCTTTGCTAAAGGGCGTGACTGTTTTTTTTTCTAATGGGGAATAGTTTTTGCAAAAAAAAAAATGAAAATAAAAAGACAAACCATCCTTTCAGCAATACATGTAACTTGTTTCTTTGCGGATGCTATAGATTTTTCACCAGAGAATGCTCTTTTTGCTGTGGGTGTAACACTTCAAGATGTAACATAATTATTCCTTTGTGTCAGCTTCAGGAAACTCCTGCAGCAGCTGATGTGCCACCTCTAGATTAACTAGCAATAGATCTTTTCTCTTTTCCTTTTTTATTATACCTCTAGGTATCTGCCGAGAACTTCTTCTGTCACACTTTCGAAAGTAGCAAGAGAGTTGTCCATTTGAGGGGGGGGGGGAAGAAATGATCTTTTCCTTTTTTAAAAAACCTTTGTTTTTATACCCATCAAAAATGCTTTTTCATACTTCACTAGTATATTAAAGTGGGAAAAACTGAATTTAAGTTCGAAGTTAGCCTGGTACCCCTTCTGAAATTGAATAGGCCACATGAATAGTTTCTAAATGATTGCTGAGGTACCATCTGGCTTCCAAGTCAGTCCCAAATGCTGACCTACTGAAGAGTTTTTCTTTTCAGAGTGCGGGACAGTGTGGCTATAGCATGCAAGTAATCCTTGATCAGAAACACATTTGGTAGTTGAATTTCTGTCATAAAACGGTGTGGTCACAAAGTGAGTCATGTGTCTGGACCTGATTTTAGGATCATTTTTACCATGGGCCTAAGCGAATAATCCACAGTCGTTAAGCAAATTACATGGTGATTAAGCAAATCCAGCTTTCCCAATTGTCTTTGTTTGTCAGAAGCTGGACAGGAAAATCACAAATCACAATCATATAACCACAAGCGGTTGTAGCTGTTGTAAATGGGAACTGGTTTCCATGCCCAAATTGCAATCACATCACAATGGGGGTTGCATGATGTGACAATTGGAGTTGTGTGATGATTGCAACATCAAGGATTGGTAATAAGCCACATTTACAACTTTATAGTAAGTTACCTTTACATCGTAACTTTGAACTGTCATAAGTTGAGGACTATCTGTTATCAATTATAAGAGTATAAAAATTAAGGAAAAGTACACAGGGGAGTTAAAAACAGTAATAATTTGGGGAACTAGACTCCAGTTTTTCCTTGTTTTCACTTTCATTACAAATATCTTCTGAGTTGCAAGATACATACAGTACATGTAATTAACCCATTTGCTTCCTTCCTTTTATTAATGTGGAGTAGCAGTGCAAACCAATGCATTAAATAACAAAAGAGAGTTTACTGGTTGTCTCAAAGCAGCTATTACAGTGTAAGCACAGGCAAGCATGAATTTCTCAAAATATTTAGGCTGCAGAGGTTCCTTCATTCAAGGACCAGAAACAGACAACAAACTAGTATATTGATTTATATGACATATAATTGTCCATCTTGCAACAATGACTCTAGTTCTAAGCATATTCCAAAATAAGGAGCATTGAAATAAGTTCTAAGCATGATCTTTAGGATCAGAAAGAACATCTGTTATGACTGATTTTTCTAATCCTATTAGGCACAAATGTAATGTAGGCTGAATTTGGCACAATTCATATTTTGTCAGCTATTTGAAAAAGAGCAAGTTTGGAACTTACATTGTTGCTTTGACTCTTCTATTGTTTGTCAATGTAGTGAGTCAAACAAAGGTGACCAGGGCAGATTTAACTGTTCACAGCTTTGTAGTTATTTGTTTGCATTTGCAAAAATAACTTTTGCTGCCTTAGCTGTAGGCAGCTTTTTCAAAGAGAGATGAACATTCACGGAAGTGCACAATGCCTGGTCTCCTGCTGTGCTGTAGAATGCAGTTTGCTTCTTAGTACAGAGAAGATCCACGGATATACATCAGCTTCTAGTTCTGGGTGTAGATAGTTTTGGATAGAAATATACAAGGGCAATGGTAGATGCAGCATGCTCTTGTCGTATTAATGCAGAAGGGCTTCGGCGATGAGGAAAGGTGGCCCGGTAATTGATGTCTAATAACAGATTTAATGAAATAATTAATGCAGAGCTGCACGAAAACCCTGTTGAAGTTCAGTTTGCATACTCTTGGTCTGTAATTACTGATTGGGAATGGTGCAATCTGTAAAGCCTCAAAAGCATAGTTTTAAGTGTTGCTATTATTTCGGTAATGCCCTGGCATGCCTGGCAGAAATTATTTCCCTTGGGATAAAAGCTGCAACCCCATTTCTCTTATTGGTAAAGAATGTTTATGAAGACAAACCTCTGCGCTCCAAGAAGCAGTTTCTTCACTAAATATCAATGTTGAATTTAACCCGGGGATGGGAACCTGGCTATCTCAGAAAAATCTTACACCTTTTCAGTTCTTTGAACAGGTATTGAAGCTGCATGTTACCCAAAGGATCACATTGATCCTGAAAATGTGAATGCAAAAGGATGCTTGGAAATGTTGTCTTTCTGCTCTGTTTCTTGAGGCAACTGTCCTGCTTTCTTTCTACCAGTGTTGTTAGATGTCTTTTGGCCTTGCAGCGTTTTTTAGCTTGAAAGTTCCTCGAAATCCTGGAATTCTTGCAAGAATGTGCCACCATCCTTCACACACATTACGTGCTTCTTTTCTCATGGTTTCCTAATTGAAGTCTCCCTTCAGTTATTAATGGAAAACAGACAATTTTCTGTCTTCCCTCACGGCCAGATTTCTCATCAGCATATAATCTGATCTCTACTGTCTCATTTAATGGTGAACATGAGTTGATAATTTTCATTTTCATTTTTCTCCCCAGTTATGAAGATGAATGATGTAGACCACCCTCTTGAATGACGCTGGGCATTTTATAACTGGGATCGTTAAGGAATAAAAAAAGAAATCGGTTTTAAAGGGGGTCAATAATGGTGACTTCTGATTGCAGAATGAAAAGGTTTTGGCTGCTTCTGATAGTCAGCTTCCTGCAGTGTTCAGAAGGTAAGATATGTCAATGTGTAATTTGTAAGAATAAAAAATATAATTCAGATTTATGATTCATCCTTGTCTAAAGGGGCAATATAATTCATTTTGGAAATGATGCTTCATATTTCTGTTGCATGTGTCCCCTGGAGGAATGCTATTCAGTCACATATTTTGAAATACATTGATGCATTTTGGAATTTGTAGTTTATTTTTGACATGTTATATTTCTGTTATTTTTGACATATTTCACATGATTTTCTACTATTTTGGTACAAATTGTTTTCCCTCTTTAGAATCTTCCCCCCTTCTATTTCTCTGAAATTATATAAGATAGTGAAGGTTTAAATCTCCTTGATCCACTGTAAAAAAAAATGCAGTGGCAAAGATCTATATGCTCATAGAGAGATGCAGACACACAATCACAGCTATGAATATATAGGTTTTTAGGTCTTACTGGTGGATGTGTAGTAAGTTGAAAAGAAACATAATTCATTTCAAAATCAGGTCACTGAAACTGAAAATGAGCTACTGTCAGCCTATATCTTGTTCCCACTTAAAATTATTTTCTACTTGTTCATGCAATATCTAAGGGAATATTTAGAGAAAAGAAGAAGCTACTTTTTCTCTTCTGCAATATTTTTCACAGAGGTGCTAAGAGGTACCAATGACAAACTGTGTCATGACACAAATCTTGTATCCAACATCAGGACATAAACTCAAAACTCTCGAGTTTGAGTCATGACAGCACTAAGCACAATTTGTCATTTTTGCATCATTGCGATTTCTACTAGATGCTTATTTCTGCTCAGTTTCCCCAGCTTCACAGACTTAAGATATTTCACTACAATTCTTGCATACTATAAGCACAGTAGTGTTATAGTATTACATGTGCAATAGCTTAACAGTATAAAACATCATTTATCCATTTAAGTTCTTCTGAATTGAATGGGGGATTGCATGTTTTTGTCATTTGAATGCCATTAAAATAGGAAAATGTATAGTACCTTACTGAAAAAGCTGGAAATCTGATGCAATTTACAGGACCGCTTTACAGATGATGATTTACAAACTAGTTATTGATGCAATTTTATTTTGGGGTCTTCTTAGAAGTAAAGCTCGTGGAATTTTGTAAAACCTAATTCTAGTGTGACCGAAGGTGAAATTTTGCTGCCTTTTAAAAAATTCATTTCTTTCAAAAATAATTTTATTGCTAAAAATGTCAAGATTAAAAAATAGAGTGATGCATCACCAGAAATTAAGTGTGGCGAGTAGATGTTGGACTTGAGCAAGATTCCAAAGTTTGATTTCCTTTTCTGTCAGGTAATTTATTTTGAGTTAGTTATCCTTCCTTTTTTCACAGTCTTATCAGGATAAAATACAGCAACCCTATCAAATCAGAGAAAAGACAAGATAATCAAATGAGTTTGGGAATGCATAGAATTGCAGCTAAATTATAGCAAGCTGTGCTTAAGTGTGTGTGTGTGTGTGTGTGTGTGTGTGTGTGTGTATGTATGTGTATGTATGCTGCCAGGATAGACTGAAGCCACTCCAAGTTATTTCAGAATTAGTGTGTTCTCTGGAAAAACAAAAGAAAATTTCCTGTGTACTTACTTGGATTTTTTGGAGAAAGAATCCTTGGCAGTTGATAAACAGATCAACACTAGTTGTTCCCTTCTTATCCTATTGTAGGACTTTGACCCATGATGGTCATTTATGTTTTGGCTGCTGTGATGTATAGAGCTTAAGAAGGGAACCAGGAGCTGTTTCCCCTTGTTTGTATGTGGTTTAGTTAGCGGAATATTGACTTTGTTGGAATATGAAATGCAGCGGTTTCATGAAGTCAATATTCCTTTCAATAATAGGAAAATAAAATGGTCAATTTGTTCACCAACTCCTCTGTCACATCCCAGTTTGCAAGTAACAAACAATAGTTGTGGCAGAATTAAAGAACTGTAGGAACTTTGGCTGTATTTTGAATTCTTCTGTGAAACAGAGAAAGAACTTTGTTTTGCCTGGGCAATTTCAGCCTATTCTCACTGGTGATTGATCTTGTATTATACAAAAGCACTCAAAACAAGGAGGAGATGATGAATTTGACCAGACTGGAATGGGGAGAGCATATCTGTATGCAGACAGCCTTGATGCTGAGATTGGTAAGGAAGGCTATATAAAGACTTGCTTCCTTCCCATCTTAAGAACAGGAGAAAAAGGTATTGGTATGACTGTGGGAATGAGCCCCAGGTTTTGTAAATTTTATTATAGTTTTAAAGATCCCTTCCAAGTCTCAGTAGGCACCCCACTTTCCATTAGAGATCTGGAAAGTCAATATATTCACAGTGTTACATACAAAGCATTGCCATTGTATTTTCTGTAAGCATCTTTATTACCCAATGGCCAATAACCCATTGCTTGGATATTTATTTATAGGGGGGGATGTTGGACCAAATGTAATTTCTAATGTTGCATTGTCCCCCTTACCAGAGGGACCCCCTGTGGAATACTGTGAAGCTGTTACCATGACAACTCCACTGCCCTGTACAGTAGAAGTCAGTATTGAACAACAGGCTCTATCTTAACAGAACACCCCCCACCCCGAGGAGTGTTACTCCTGTCTTACTCCCACAGTATTTTTTTCCAGAGAGTAAGTCATCTGTGTACCATGTTTGGTTGAAATTGCTCGAGGCATTCCAGAGTTATTCTGGAATACACACAGCCATTATGTATGTATGTATGTATGTATGTATGTATGTATGTATGTATGAATGAATGATTATTGTATTTGGATTCATGATAATTAGTCGTGGTCAGAGAGAGGCAGATGTGTGAGCATCTTGTATTTTTATTCTACAGATGGAAATCCAAGGTGTTGCAAAGCATTGATATAATTTAGACCATAATTTGATTTAAAAAATCTTGATTTATTTTGGACAAATTTTGAGATTAGTATGTCTTGATTGAATCCAAGTAACAATTAAAAAAACACTTTGTGTGTTCCTGTAACTATCATTGGAAATAAAAAAATATGATTTATGTTTTGTTTGAAAGCATTAGATGAAATATGTAAATATAAATACGGTTCCTTACAGTATGAGGAGATAAATCCTGCAAATTCTTGACTATTTTTATCTTCTAAAATCATGCTGAGTTCATTGGTCTATGGTTCCCCCCCTTTCAATTCTTATGAAAATGACATGTAATATAGAGATGGCTCAGTTATGATACTTGAAAATGTTCAGAAGGTTAGGTCTGGTACTATTTATGGAAAAAAGGATCTTCTGTCTGAAGAAAATTCAGATTTCTTTTCTTCTCCTTCCATCTAATTTTATATTCAATATGGTACTGCAATTGGAATTTAGCTAAAAATATATGCTAAGAACATAACATGTGAAATAATACATTCCCATTCACTTCTTCCTGAGCCTGCTGAATGACAAACACAACTGTTTACCCCATGAATATCCTGAAAAAAAGCTTTTACATATCTATTTAGTTTAATGTTGGCTCTGTTCTAAGATACGGCTCATGGGCTTGAATTGGAAAAAAAAAGTATAGTAGGAACTCTCATTTAGATTTCACGGAATGAAGACCAGCAATCTCTCTCAGGGGATATTGCCCTTCAAAAGCCTGGTTTGCCTGACCAACTTTTAAGACTATTCCCCCCCCCTCCCCTATTGGGTTGATAAAGTATTGAAGGCCAAATCTTCAAAACACACTTCTCACATGTGGTCTGTTAAAAAATCGTTGCGATTTGTTAGAGATAATTATCTACATATGTTCTTGGTGGTCTTTGCATACCAGTATTTGAATAAAACTTTATTTTTACGGGAAAGTTCAGTTTACAAATGAGAAGGCATGTACTGCTTTTTTTGTTTAAAAAAGGGCTTCATTTCTCACTTGAAAGAAAATTAGGGAGGAAATTGGGAAGAGTAGACGGAAGGGAGCCACACTAATTAAAAATTATTAGAATAAATCAAAAGTTGTGGTTTTCTATTCTGGAATGGAATACTGATGTGGAGGTAGCTTCAAGCCAAAACAGATGAATTAATCTTATTTTATTGGGCATTCTTGCAAGATATCTGCCTTTGGTTTAATAGATATATAATAGGGCTTAAAGGTGGATGTTTTTATAGCTGGCAAAAATCTGAGGGAAATCAACCTCAACAGAGTTTAGCTTTAGAATTGAGAATAATCCTATCACCCAGAATGTGAAACCTTGAATAATGTAAATTTTGAAAAGAAATGGCAAAAGTGTTCCTAAACCAACTTAGAACAAGCCTACTTGCTTGACTTGCTAGCCATTTTTGTGTGCGTTCATTTCATCAATGGAGGCCAGCACAACAAAATTTTAGTGGCTGAAAATATTTTGCATCTTTCTATTAATTCTTAATTGCTTTTCTTTTTTAATACAGTAACAGGATCAGGGAAAAGGTGGATAATGGGAGTTTCATCTATTAATAGGGAGATTTATTTTGCAGTCTGGGAGAATCTTAAGTACAGTTTTGGATAGGGAAGATATATAAAACTTTCCAGGAATTTGCATATATAGGTATTTGTGATATTCATATACCAACCACATTAATTTATGCTTGACTATGACAATGTGGCTTTGTGAGCATACATTTGTTGACTGAGATGAAACTGATTGGATTATTTATAATAAAGAGTGACAATATGTGCATTGTACACAAAAGCTACATTCTCAGCAAGGGTATGGGAGGGCGGGTTGTTTTGTGAGTTACTCCATCAAAGCAGACTATAATTTCCCAAGTACTTTTACTCGTCAAATAAAACAAGCTGGACACAAGACACAGGGGCAACAAGAAGAAAACACAATAATTGTATTGATAAACATTGGTGGAAATTTGTTATAGATGAGCTGTTTAATAGGACACTGCAGTTAATTGTAATTATTTATTGATATCTGAAGATAAATCAACAAGGCTTTTCTAAACCAGATTAATTGAAAAGAGAAGACTTCAGTGCTCTCAGATTTAGAAATTCTCCTGTTGGTTTTT